CATCTTCACTGCCTGACGGAAACTTTGCAACAGACCTCAAAGACACTGACAGGCTGCTGGAGGTTGTGCAGCGTCATGAGTGTGTTTGCTTTGCCTCGTTCGGAATTTTTCTCGCATGTTAGTAGGCCCTTCTGCAGCACTTTAACATCAATAAATGATAGCGGCATCGACTCTGAGAGATTAGAAACACTCCTGTAAACAAATGAGCCAAGAGGAGTGGGAAGAGCTCAAGGCTCTGCAAATAAAGAAACATGAGCGAATGAAGAAACATCAGCAAACATCGTCATCACTTTGACAATCCATATATATCGCATTTAGGAAAAGCGCTGCAAATAAAAAGAAAGCAGAATAAATAAACACCCGGTGAATACAACATCTGATATAGAAAAAAGAAGTGTTATAATAACATAAAGTCTACTTTGCTCAACTAATCGTATTTTAATCACAATTACGATGTTGGCTTGCAACGATTATGAAAACAACGTAATCGAAATAAAACGATTATTTATTTTATATTATTATAATTATTTATTTTTGTATTGGTTTTTCAGTTGAATTAAAGTTCAGGGTAATCAACTGTTAAAAACATACATTTCAATAAATGGAAGTTTTCAAAGTAAACGGATAATCGTTTTTAATAATCGTGATATCAATGGTTCACCCAAAATAATTGAGATTATGATTTTTGCCATAATCGAGCACTTTGCACACTAAAATATCTAGATTTTGTAAGTGTTCCCAGACCCATTGTCCAACAGTGCAGCGCACAAACACAATGGAGGTGGTACTCACCGTGTTAAATCACTGGGGAAACATTTATATTTCTCATTGTGAAGCCAAATTAGCATAGACATTTCAAATCCTTTTGACAGATGTCCTTTGATTCGAATATTGTAGAATTTCCTTCGTGCATAATTGTTCAATCATTACTCTGACACAACAATCAAACAGCCCTGAATTTCCCTTCTGGGATTAATACATGTGTCTGTCGTGCTTTCGAACAATACACATCCTCACTAAGTGTGTGGAGGGACGCTAAAACTGATAACATGCAAGGGATAAGCAAAAGGTTACAGATGTACAGCTCTGGAAAAATGAAGCTCAAGTCATTCCAGTGTCCGTTGAATGCCAACACAGAGAAATGATGTCAGTAGTTTAAAGAATGAAACAAAATGTTAATTTTACTCAAAGACATAGTAAAAGCAGAGAAACTGATAATGCTGCAGTGGTCTCTTAATGCATTTTTATCAATTTTGTTTCCATAGAAACGGCAAATGCATTGTCACACACAAACATTTCCTTGTGTTTCTTGATTAACTCTGCCTTTGCCGGTTTTCTACGGGCTGTCAAATTGGTGAAAATGTGTCTTTATTTGTCCACTTTGCCGCCGCACATTTCATCGAAAAGAGAGATTTAGATTTAGCTTCAGGGCAGAACAGAATGGACCGCGCTGTTCTCTTAGTAGAGGTAGAACTTTGTTGAATAGCAGATGGTGGAGGGGGAAAAGGTCAACGAAACAACCTGAAAAAAGGGGGCCTTCCGACACATTTATCCTCTGCAGGAAGAGAAATGAGGGCACATCACTGGAGGTTATGGAGGGAGGACAAGAAGCATTTGCTAGTTAGAGGAAGAAGGATGGAGGTTTTGGGTCTTAATTTTGACGAATACGAATCAATGTATAATTTATTATGTTGGTAACACAATACACAATTTGATGAGTGTGCCGTTGACATGCTAATGTGTAAAAAGAAAGCCTGTGTCATTTAGAGAGCCAGACTTCACGTTCAACTGTCGTTTTTTTTAAGTCCCCAGCTGTGCACATATCACACCCTCTCTCAACAACACACATATTTATACATTACCTGGTTTCTGTAGCTTATAGGGTTCTTAATAATGAAAGTTTAGGAATATTAACGCAGGCACATGCGCACAGGAAGAATCAAAACATAAGGTGTGTATCACTTTGACCCCGCACCCTGCCAAAGCCCATTTACCATCGTGTTCATGTAAACAAGCCTCTTCCCTTCCTTCTTCTCTAAACATCAGCCTGTCCAGCCCAGCAGACCCCCCCCACCCATCCCGCTGTTCCCCTACATAACACACACACACACACACACACACACACACACACACACACACACACACACACACACACACACACACACACACTACCCATCTGCTTCTGCTCTCCAGACCTTGCATCTGGCCTGCCATGAACCATAGCTCTGTTCGAAACAAACACACTTGATTTAAACACACACACACACACACACACACACACACACACACACACACACACACACACACACACACACACACACACACACAACACACACACACACACACACACACACACACACACACACACACACACACACACACACACACACACACACACACAAACACATGCCTGCAGCCTAATATCCTTGAAAATGTATCTTTAATAGTTTAAATTGAATTAAAACCTATTTTTTATGCGATCGGGACCATATAAGTTTACATAATTCACGCACTCAACATTAATATGATGTACAGAGATTTTAAAGCTGTAACCATTTTGTATTGTTGTCATATGGTGTTACATGTGCAGTGTAGTTAAAAAGTGATCTAAAAACTGTGAGATAATAGTGAAAAATATGTCTTAAGAAGTGTTGTTTTGTCAATCCCCAATTATGTTAACTTTTATATTTAATAAAACATCTGAAAATTCTGTCATCTTAGAGGCTGAAAACTACATTTCCTGAAATGTTTGCTAACATTTTTCCAATTTTCCGTTGATAAACCAGACATCAAAGTTAATAATAATAATAATAATGATAGCTTTGATTTGTATAGCGCCTCTCATGGGAGGCTTTACAGAGAAAAACAAGCAAAAACAAAGCAGTCAGACAAACAGTCAGACAGTTCTACTTCACTGCACGATTGCATGTCCACATTATATCCAGTCATCTTCAGAATAGTATTACTGCCGTGTTTTTTTTTGGCTGGGTGTTCCTAATAAACTTGCTAATAAGTCTAAATGCAAATGAAAGCAGTGACTGGGATTTAAAGATGGTAGTACTGGAACTGTAAGGATGTGGATTTTGTTTCCTGATGCTTCAACGTCCTCTAGTGGTTAATGTGTGGAAGTAAAACTATAAAAAAAACTCCTTCAAATCTCATCTGCTGAATTGACATTGTTTACATTGCTTACAAAGTACCATCATTGTAAGATATGTAATGACATTATTCAAATAATACATTTCAGTCAGCATGTCGTTGTGTCCCTGAGACACTTCACCCCAAATTGCTCCTGTGGGGATTGTCCACAGTATTGAGTATGTTAGTCGCTTTGGATAAAAGCGTCTAACAAGTAACATGTAATGTGATGTAATCTAATGTAATGTAACTTTCCCAATCTTTTATAAGGATATCATCTACAGATTGGACCACCATGACAACACTCAATGAAGTGTTTAAAGATAAGAATTCAAGGCTGATTATATAACATTAGGGATAATTTATGTTTGGTATTACATCTTTTCTGTATTGTTATGTTTAAATATATAAATAAGCCATTATCTAATATGTTGGTACATTTAAGAGAAATCTGCAGAGGCAAATAGACACCGTTAGTAAAATAACGACCTAAATGAATATTTAGGATGTTCTTGCCTTTAGCTTCTCCCAATAAGTCCAAGTACAGAGGGTGACTTTTCTGTGAAAAAACACATTTCCACCAAAAAAGCGTTTTCTACAGCTAAAATGGCTTGTGATTTTTCTCTTCCCTTTAGTCCGATTGCAGAGGAATAGTCAGAGCTGGTCCGGTGAGTTTTCGGATGACTTGGCAGCAGCCGGCTGTGCTGCACACTTTCATTGTTTTGCAGACTGTCAGTGTGAACAGCATCAGAGGCGCCGTGTGTGGTACTTAGAGGTGGGAGGCTGCAGTCCTGTGTGTGTGTGTGTGTGTGTGTGTGTGTGTGTGTGTGTGTGTGTGTGTGTGTGTGTGTGTGTGTGTGTGTGTGTGTGTGTGTGTGGGGTGTGGTCCGGCCTGCATCAGGACCAAGGCCAGCGACAGCTCTGCAGCACTCAAACAGCACACAGAGCTTTTTTCTTTTTTTACCAACGTATGATGATGTTTCACTCTGTGTACATACATATACATTTGAAACATATTATATAGTAACTTAATTCCTCTTAATGTGGCATCAAACTTGGCATTAGACCTGATTCTAATTCTGATAATAAAATATAGGAGTTGTCATGTCAATGCAGCGAGAAGGATGTCATTTATACAAATAACACACATTTTAAGAGAATATAGTTCAAGTATTGAAAGTCACAGTTAATGTAGGGAGGCTGTTTGTGGTTTTAAAGACTTAAAATGAGCACTGCAGTGTTAATGTATGGACAAAAACACGCTAACGTTATTGTTTGCATCTGTATAATTACATGTGTTTGTGTAATCTGACATGACAAACTAGAGGTCACAATTAAGACCCCTTGCATTTGTACCAATTCGTCCCCGATGTTTCCACGTTGTGAGGATGAGGGAGTGACGAAGCAGCAGGTAATGAGTCTCATCCCGTATTCAGATATTGCGGAGGTCTGGGAGGATGCAGACTGCAGCAGCAACACGCACACAGCTTCACCCATCGATCCCATTTGCCATTCTGCTGGGACAGCAAAGAAAAAACTGCAATGACAGTGGACAGCATGGTCTGAAGTAACATGAGACAGTCCGATGGAATCATACTGTGCCAATGACATATTGTATCATAATGTTAATGACTCATTAAAAGTGGTATAAGCTCTGAGGTCCAAGCCTTTATATTCAAAACTTCATTTATAGTGATTGTGTGTTGATGTATGAGCTATGGCAAAAAAAGAGGAGCTGCGTGAGTGACTTCGTGTCTCCCCAGAGGGTGGAGGCTTTCTGCTAAAGCTTGCAGGTTTCCTCTCATCTCCTGTTGTCTCTGCGTCAAATGATGCGCCGGCGCCTTCACTATAAAAGCACCTGCCCCGCCGGACTTCACTCGCATCTCACTCTCCTCCCACACACTCCTCAACTCCACTCTTTCTCTCTCTCTCTCTCTCTCTCTTTCTCTTTCACCAGCAGTGGAGCCGGACACCATCAAGTCAACATGAGTTACTCCAACGACTTCCACAGCAGCAGCTCCTATCGGAAGATCTTCGGAGATGCACCCCGCTCCGGACGCGTCGGTCTGGGCAGCAGCAGCAGCCCGTCCCGCATGCACTCCTCCTCCTCCGCAGGGTACCGCAGCAGCAGCGGGCCCCGCACCTACGGCTCCCCCAACATGGTGTCCTCTTCCAGCTACCGCAGGACAGGCGCTGCTCCCGGCCGCGTCTTCTCCTCCATGCAGGACTCTTCCATGGACCTGGCGCAGTCCACCGCGGTCACCAACGAGCTGAAGATCGTGCGCACCAACGAGAAGGAACAGCTGCAGGGACTCAACGACCGCTTCGTGTCCTTCATCGAGAAGGTGCACAGCCTGGAGCAGCAGAACAAGGTGCTCGAGGCGGAGGTCACCATGCTGCGGCAGCGCCACAACGAGCCGTCCCGCCTGCACGAGCTCTACGAGCAGGAGATCCGCGAGCTGAGGGCGCGCGTGGACGAGATGACCCACGAGAAGAGCCAGATGCACGTGGAGTGCGAGCAGATGAACGACAATCTGGATCGGGTGAGGGAGAAGCTGGATGAGGAGACGAAGCTCCGCGAGGAGGCGGAGAACACCCTGAAGGGATACCGGAAGGACGTGGACGACGCCACCATCTCGCGCCTGGAGCTGGAGAAGAGAGTGGAGTCACTGCTGGATGAGATCTCGTTCCTCAGGAGGGTGCACGAGGAGGAGCTGCTGGAGCTGCAGGCGTCTCTGCAGGCCACTCAGGTACCCCCCCCCACACACACACACACACTCACACACACACACACACACTGCATCCAAGTGCAGGTATAGGTGGTGCTTTAGGTCAGATTCATTCGTTTTCAATGTCAAACGGCCAAGACTAAATCCAGACTTCACTACACATGCAACTTTTTAAATTGTAAACTTCATGGGAGGTAATTAGAAGTTTTCCATAATAACACAGTATGATTCCTATAAGAAATCACATAAACGTCATCAGATTACAACTGTCAGCTGTTTAGTCATGTTTGACCATAGACCTGCATTATATATCTGCAGGAAACTGTTAAACTTTAAGAGGTTATTGAATGTTTTATTCGATTCCTTTGATAAAGCTACAAAACGTCAATGCATAAAAAGATTGATCTGTTAGAAATAACCTTGTAGTGTAAGTCAAATACGCAGGGCAAAAATACAACTTATTACTGTTTAAATATGAGTAAGTGTCGCATAAATTCAACAACCTGCTACCAAAACGTGTTATTTTAAGCTGTTAAAATCAAAAGCGACTCCCATACACCTTATACCGTAGCAATATAGAGGTTAAGTATATTTCCCAAGGACATTTTGACACATTGAGTGGGTGGGCTGGGGATCGAACCGGTGACCTTCTGATTGGCAGACGCCCACCCAGTCCAATAGAAGTCTGTTGGTATTCACGACTTACTGCATATTGCGCACTCTGTAATTGATGGCACTGCAGTTCCGTTTTAACACCACGAGCCCCCTCCCTCTCTGAGATCTCGAGCGTCTCTGCAGCGTCCCACGCGCACCGTCACACCCCCGTTCAAACTTTAAGATGTCTTAATGCCGGTTTGTAGCCAGAAACTATGCGTAAAACGGCTCCCTGTTGCGATATTATGTAAGTAGCATGTTGCAAATGTAAATAGTGCAGAAAGATCACTGTAATCTTTGAGTAAGCTTCGGTAAGATAGTTGCTAACTAATATTTTGGGCGTAATAATGGCGATTTGCTTTAGAGGAGGCGAGGAAAATGGGGAGGAGGGGGGAGGGAGGGATAAAAATGCGGGGGGAAAGCGCATTATCCAGGGGTGTGGTCGTCCCAAGGGGGCCCCAGCATGCAGGACCCCCACCAGCAGTTGTTTGTGTGACACATCTTTAGCAACACAGTGAAAATAATGTCACTGTTTGATAAACAACACTTTAGATTAGCTTGATCTTGAAGTTGTACTAATTACAAAACCATCAATAACATCCTTTTTGGAAAGGAGCTGTTATGTAATATATCATGGTGCAGGTGTAAAGACATTGAAGTGAATGAGGGCAGCAGCTTTTACTGCAACTTTAAGCATTAATCGATTCCTTGCATGTGCAGTGCAGATGCCTGCTAGGTAGATTTCTCCAGGGTTTCTCTTCCTGCCTGCAGGGAATTTTACTGCCATGTAAGCTACTGACGGCACGGTTTTCTCCTGTAGAGAAGCCCGAGTCAGCAGTCCATTCATCAGTCCTGCAACATCAACACACACCTTATACATTTATGTACATGTCACCAGAGAGGAGTGTGCGCTGAGATTTTATCTGCAGACGGTCATACATCATTTTAACACAGATAATGCTTGATTATTTCTGAAATTGCACATTATAACAGATTCAGATTCAGATTACTTGTATTGCTCATTAGATTTGCATATTTGTTCACACAAACACACAACATAATATATCTTTCAATGCCAAAGTGGAAGTAATAAAAATGCTGAATGGATCATTCTTCCTCTGGCACAGAAGTTCATCAACATCACAACAGTGCCTGATTGTTTAGCAACAACAAATAACATCACAGTTTTTATCACGCTACTTTTATTTGACATCCTAGAGAAAAGTCTAGCAAACCAGTGCGTTACAGTTTCTTCATATAACAGTTACAAAAAAGTCACGTTCCCAATTTATAAAGAAACACATCTATAGACAATCAGTAATCATAAAACAATAAAGCATTTAATTGTGTAGCTTTCAAAAAGTATACTTCATAAGTGTCATCACTGTTTTATACTGTATCTATTTCTTGGACAACAAATGATATTTGACTTATATCACAAAGTCTGCTAATATATGGTTTTGATTCAATTCAGGGGCCTGAGATAGATGTATCATCTGCCCATTAAACACAGTCAGTTATCTTTTATCAACTCCTAAAAAGAAATTGAAATACGATTTATGTTGACAGTTTTATAGCTGGGCTCTTCCAGACATTTTAATGAAAAAAAATAATATTCTCTCTCTTTTTGTCCTGATCCATTTCTATAAAAACCTGTCTGAAAATGAGCTGATCAGACTTTGGCCACTTTATGATGTCATAACGATTTTTTGGCTTGTGTAACCATTAGCCAATCACCAACCAAGGTAACCCCCCACCCCCCACCTTATCACCTGAATCTCCTCCTAGAGCACCATTGTGTTCTTTTTAACCAAATATCTCTCAGAGGGGCGTGGGGAGGGGCTCCTTATTTTCATCTAAAGTAACAGACAGAGAATCAGCACTTTTGAAACAGGGCTGAAACAGAGGGGATTATGGGTAATGCTGCAATGATCTGTTTGGTGTTTGGAGCCAAACACTTCAGAGACATGTTTTATATATTGATATATATATTGATGAAAGACAGAATAATAGGGGACCTTTAAGGGACAAGGGCTTAAGACATTACAGTTCATTTTGTCATAATAACGTTTATTTTGAAGCAGGAGGTTCTTTTAATCAGTCAGACTCACAGCTCCATGGTCAGCATCAGAGAGGTTGGAGACTCGTACGTGTCCAGCAGCGCCACCAGCTGGTGATGCTGCACGTGTTGGAGGACGTCCGCCTCATGAGCCACCTGCTCCTTCTTCTGCATCTTCTTACTCACAAATTTAACCGCAACCTGAACAGAGTAAAAAAAGCATGTTACAACACACTGCAAGACAAAACAATAACATTCACTGGAAACTGAAACATTCAAAACCTTACATATGATTAAATAAAAAATACAACTCAAAACTTGGATCACATACAGTCTCAAGATCATCTGAAAAGGAACCCTGATTCATGAAAATTATTTTTTCACTCACTGAAAGTATAACTGAAAATACAAAATGGGCAAACTGCCACCTTATTTATAATAAAAACGTTTTTGAATTTAAATAAAAAGAAGAAAAAAATTACATTTTCCAAACAACAGGCTATCACCGCAAATCAAAAAACGTTAACACTTATGAGCACGCACTTTACAACAGCATCAGTTTTTACAACACTTTAATTGTAACTTACCTCTTTCTTTGTAGATTTGTTGAGACATTTTCTCACCACTGAAAATCGTCCCCTGGTGAAACACACAAGAACAAGAGAGGCTGAATTAAAAGGTCTCTCATCTTTCACATCTATCTACACCTGGGGTCAAAATCAATCTTGGGTTGTTAATCACATTATTCTGAAAGTCAGTGCATTTGCATCACTCTACCTTCCGATCTCACAGATTTCAGAGAAAGTCGACTCAAAGTTTTCTTTCCACTGGATCCCTGTTCCATCGTACCCTGAGTCTGGACAAAGATCAATCAAATGAGATCAATAATATGGAGTCATAAGGTCACATGATATGGAAACTATTGAAGAAATATATTATTTTCAGTAAGAAAGATAGCTGAATATTCACAAAAATATTGGTATAACATTTAAAAAGCCCCAACATTCAATAATAATAATAATAATAATGGTATCTTATTTGTCCAGTGCAGTATAATATACCTAGTATGATTGGGAGTCAATGGGTCACATGACATGAATGATATCAGAAATTAACGAGACTTTAAAAAAAGAAAATGCAGGACTTTACCTAAAATATTTATTGTTTCAATGTTTTCTTCCTGGCCAAGACTCATATCCAATCTTAACAGCTTTAGGGTGGTGGTCAGTAATGTTAAGAAAACTGTAATCTAGTCCTTAATGCATTGAAATCAGACTATTGTCTCTCAGAAACTCTGGGAAAGGCATAATTGCTGAAGGACAATATGTCTGGCTCCCACATTAGTCAAAGTTAACTTTATTGTCAATCTTTCAGTTTGTGTGCACAGACAGAGAGAACGAAACACCGTTTCCCACAATCTTGAATACAATAACAAAAATATATAAAAAATATGACACATTTATACATATACACACATTAAAGGTAGGGTAGGTAATTTTGGAGAAACCAGCTCGAGTGCGCTAGAATTTGAAAATACACAACCGAAAAAAATCTGCTACTTCCTTACAGAGCCCCTCCTCCAACACACACGAACGCACACGAACATTGGTCATAGCACATGACCAATGAGGGCACGAGATAAGTTTGTGCACAGATGGAAGGCTGACAGGCAGGTAGGCCATCCAGTTATTTTAGCCGGGCCGGCTCAGATGATTGGTCGTGCTTTTTACAGCGCCACGGCTTCCACAGATGACGTTTTTACCTACCCCACCTTTAAGACCTAAATTAATGAATTATGAAATTGAGTGTGTCAGACTTACTGGTGNTTCGCCAAAAAGTTAAAGAAATAACAGGTTTGATTGTTATCGGATTTTGTCATCATTAATTTCAGCATTTATGTGGTAGCCATTTTTCATCAATTAACTTTTAGGTATAATGTCATCAGTTATATCGTCCACGTTTGTGGGTGTCAACTAAAGACCGTTCGAAAAAATTTTCAAACACAAATTTTAGACACTAACCAAGTTGACCAAGGTCGAAATTCAAAGGACGAACCTCAACAACAAAAGGTCCAGCTCCGACCGCTACTACTTTCCCGTACTATAACCGAAAACAAGGAGTGAATTACTAAAGAGTATTTGGTAAAACCGTCATAAAATGAACCGCATGGCTCCAACTTTTGGGGCGCAATGGTCAGCTCTCAGGACCCGACATAAAATACAACAGGGTCAAAAGGGCGCGGAACAAAGCCTTTTGGATACTATATTACCTACTTTTTTGTCATATTATCCCCTTGGAAATTACTCTGGTAGGCGCACTTTTTCCAAGTAAATACAACGAAACCGGAAGTTTGGACAAAGGGGTGAGTGGAGTACAAATTTTATAGGGCACAGAGAGGGACAAAAAGGAACACAGGACACAGACAAGCAAGAACAAAAAAAGGGGCGTTTACCAGCACGTCCGGAGGGTCGAGACCTTTCCTTTAGCGAAAAGAAAAAGTGGGAGGGTCACAGTCGAAAACAACAAACAAACAAAATAAAAAAACAAACCGAACTCAAAATTATTCAAAGGAAGAAAAAAGCAATTCGAATCAAACAAGGAGGAAACACTCGCGGAAAAACAAAAATAAGGTCGTTGTCCAGATGAGACAAATTTCCAACCAATAACATTTAAAAAAAAACTCTTTGCCGTCGAAGCGCGAATATTAACATTTTATGTGTCGGCCTTCTTTTAGACGAGAAGGGATGGTCTCGGGAGCAAGGTGTGTGTGTTTGCGCTTTACTTGGGGTAACTCCGTGCTCTTTTTTATTCAAAAAACGGTGTTCTACCTTCCCGACTTGTCCGTCCAAATCCGGGTAAGGTCAAATGAAATCGGCCCGGCCGAATTTTACTAAACCAAGGGCACGAAAAAAAATCCGTCTTGACATGCCGAAAAAGGTGTCTTCTTTTTAAAAAAAATACCTTGAAAAACAGTTTTCGTGAAATTCATTTAAGTAACGGAATAGCCCTACAAATTCTCGTAAAGTACCCTTATATTGTTTTTACATAGACTTCGGCCAAAAGAGTTTGAAAAATGAAATGGGTGGAATATTCTACCTAATGCATGGTGACACTTTTTTATTTATATGAATAAATTATAAGTTCTACAAACAAAAGAACCCAAGGAACCCAAAAAAGTAAATCAAACAAAAGCTCCAGGATGTCTTGTTGACTGTTTTCTACATGTGTCCGGGCTAGTGCAGGTCTTGACACCGGAAACAAACGGGTTCCGTCAAATTAAGTGGTTGTAGTTCTCCGTCGATTGTCAGATTACCGTGCCCTTCATTTTCCCAAAAAAACAGGCCTTGCGGCATTTGGCGTTGTAGAGTTAGTACGACCCGCTGTGTCGAGGAAAAGTTATCTAAGGAAGTGTCGCGGCCGTAGAGTATTGCAAAGATCTCGTTCCCCAAAAAAGTTCTCACACCCATCCAACTTCGGAGGGGAAGTCCTTTGTATTCGTTTGTCTGCGAGGGGGCAGGGTTAATAAAAAACGACACAAATAGTAATAATAATAATATAATAAATACAACAACGATATTACGGTCGCCCATAAAGTTTAACGGAAAGTTTCTCCAGGTCAATTCGTCTTCCTCTTCTAACATAATTTTTTACGAGACAAAAGCGAACAGATTGGAAAGGCGGGAAACTTACTGAGGCTGACAAAGAGAGGAGACAAAGAGCAGAAGACACCACACACAACTTTAGATAGCCCGAACTGACTGGCTAACTCAACCACTCATCGCAGTGAGGAATTTGTAATTTGTTATTGAAAAAATTTTGAAAAAAAAAAATACAAATTTTGATTAACAATTTTTGAGGGGTGAATGAAACGCAACGATAAGGAACGTGGGGCGATCTATTCCGTCTTACCGCAGAGGTGGTATAACGTAAGTTCAATTGCACGTGCACATAAATATTGTTCGTAGCGTTCCTGCGACGCACGCAAGCCTTTTAACTCACGAAAAAGTCAAACACACAACACCTTGGTACGCACAGGCCCGTACTTTTATATGCGTGTGTGGGTATTAGATGGTTAACGTACAAGTTTAAGTGATGGGACCTTCATTGATTCCAACGAAATTTCAACTTTGTCGGACACGCTGTCGGCAAGAGGAACGGTAACAAGTCAGCGGAGGTTGGAAGAAATGTCTCCTGTCCGTGTTTAGATGGACGTCGTACGTGGGGCATATAAAAGGCGTGCGGCACGGAAGAGTTCGTGTATAAATAAAATTTGTAAAAGTTGTACCACCTATTCTATTAATACGAGGGCCGTTTGTGTTGACTCGGCAGTTGACGGAGGAATAATTTGTCGAGTGGGGATGAAATCACCCCGTTGTTACTTCAGACGGCAAAGAACACGTGTGGTCGCTTATGCGTCTAGTTAGGAGAACCGACGTTGGCACCTGCCATGAACGAAAACGTAGTTCGAGTTACGCCTGGAAGGTGAGTGTTGCGGCATCCACCTCTACTTCCCTTACTCGGAAAACTTGTCGGAAAAAACCGCCCACCCGCCCCTTGAGTGTGTGTTGCCTCTGTGTTTAGTGTCCTGTCTGTCTGTAACTTTGTGTGGTACCACTGAAGAGGTCTCTCTTGAAAATGAGACCTTTTGTCTCAATGAGATTTTACACCTGTATAAATAAATAAGGAAAAAAAGTGGCCAACATCTGATCAGCTAATTTTCAGACAGGTTTTTATATAAAAGGATCAGGAAATAATGTGAGCAACATTTTTGTCCTGAAACATTCAGAATCTCAGGGGACACATGTTTATGCATAAAAGACATGGAAAAGTGGATTTTGCATAATAGGTGACCTATAAGTCTGTTGTTAAGTTGTACAATACAACACATAATAATCAACCCACCGTCTCCTCCAAGGTTGGTGTTACCCCAGCCGGACACAGAGCAGGAAAGCCCCCCATAGGGGCACCTTGTGGGCAACGGGATGGGGGCGACCGCCTCCGTCACCTCCACTGGGTGGTACAGCTTGATCAACATGATGTCGAAATCCAGAGTCTGGTAGTCATAGCTGCATACAGAAAATACAAAACACGCTTTAGACGGCAGCTGTTCCTCTCCAATTTTGGGTATTCAAAGAGAAGAAGAGGGGGATTTTTAAATGTTTCCCTCACCTAGGATGCTGGATGATGGTGCCGGACTTCATGAGCTGCTCTGTTCCCTCAAACACTCGCAAGTTGTGATCGCCCAGAATGACCTGCATGGAATAGGGACTGAGAGAGGAGGTACAACGTTATAGAAATAAGTGGAAGCAGTGAAAGCTTTCACTATTCTGTTTTCTAATATCTCTACAACACTCTTAATCTCTAAATGTTCTGCATTTTTCAAAGACCACACTCTTTTTTTAAATATTTAAAGCAAAACACACATTTAACATGTCTGCGATACATGCTCATTGATTGATATTTAGATTTTTTTTAAATGAAGACAAAAAAATGCATAAATGTCTAGCAAGATAATCTATAAAAAAAACTAAAGACCTTTGGAACAAATTCCAAAATGCATATTTTATTTATTTATTTAAAACCCATCAATGTTTACTTACTTGTACCTACAGTGGGCAACAGAGAGCACCCACTGGTTGTTGATCAGCACCCCGCCACAGAAGTGGTACCCGTAGTTGAGGGAGGCCATGTATGGACGAGAGTGAGGCGAACACTCATAACCGCCAATGATCCTGCCATCTTCACGGGGAACTGCATCTGTTGCCGCTGTTGCAGCTGTTGCAGGTGTTGCAGCTGTGGCAGCTGTTGCCGCGGTGGCAGCTGTTGGCGCTGTTGCAGCTGTGGCAGGTGTTGCCGCTGTTGCAGCTGTTGCCGCTGTTGCAGGTGTTGCCGCTGTGGCAGCTGTTGCTGCTGTGGCAGGTGTTGCCGCTGTTGCCGCTGTTGAAACTGTTGCAGCTGTTGCCGCTGTGGCAGGTGTTGCCGCTGTTGCAGCTGTTGCCGCTGTTGCAGCTGTTGCCGCTGTTGCCGCTGTTGCAGCTGTTGCCGCTGTTGCCGCTGTGGCAGCTGTTGCCGCTGTGGCAGGTGTTGCAGCTGTTGCCGCTGTTGCCGCTGTTGCAGCTGTTGCCGCTGTGGCAGGTGTTGCCGCTGTTGCAGGTGTTGCAGCTGTTGCCGCTGTTGCAGCTGTGGCAGCTGTTGCCGCTGTTGCAGCTGTTGCCGCTGTGGCAGGTGTTGCCGCTGTTGCAGCTGTTGCCGCTGTTGCAGCGGTTGCCGCTGTTGCAGGTGTTGCTGCTGTTGCAGGTGTTGCAGGTGTTGCCGGTGTTGCAGGTGTTGCCGGTGTTGCAGGTGTTGCAGGTGTTGCCGCTGTTGCAGGTGTTGCCGGTGTTGCTGCTGTTGCAGGTGTTGCCGGTGTTGCAGGTGTTGCCGGTGTTGCAGCTGTTGCAGCGTTGCAGGTGTTGCCGGTGTTGCAGGTGTTGCCGGTGTTGCAGGTGTTGCAGGTGTTGCCGCTGTTGCAGGTGTTGCCGGTGTTGCTGCTGTTGCAGGTGTTGCCGGTGTTGCAGGTGTTGCCGGTGTTGCAGCTGTTGCGGGTTGCGGTGTTGCCGTGTTGCAGGTGTTGCGGTGTTGCCGGTGTTGCAGGTGTTGCCGGTGTTGCCGGTGTTGCAGTTGCCGCTGTGGCAGGCTGTNAAAGCGCTTTGAAATTAAATGTATTATTATTATTATTAAGTGGCCAAAATCTGATCAGCTCGTTTTCAGACAGGTTTTTATATAAATAGATCAGGAAAAAAAGTTTTTTCCTGATCTATTTATATAAAAACCTGTCTGAAAACGAGCTGATCAGATTTTGGCCACTTAATAATAATAATAATACATTTAATTTCAAAGCGCTTTTTCAGGTGCTCAAAGACGCTTTACAGCCGATTTGTTTGGCTTGTGTAACCATTAGCCAATCACCAACCAAGGTAACACCCCCACCCCCCACCTTATCACCTGAATCTCCTCCTAGAGCACCATTGTGTTCTTTTTAACCAAATATCTCTCAGAGGGGTGTGTCCTATCTAGGTCGAATGCTCCAAATACCACCCCTTTCATGTGAACGCGCACCTAACTTAATAGGACACGGCTGGCTTGAGCGATCCACTTGATAACCCGCGTCGTAGTACAGTTTAGCGAGAGCGCGTATGTTTTGGATTAGGCCAACCGGCTAACTCAAACATATCCAGGTTAGGTTGAACCAGCTTTGTAGTACAGGGGGGTATACTACGAAGCAGGATTTTCGCTTAGCCGGCTAACTTCAGGGAAAAGTCGGGGTTTCTGGTCCTACGAAGCTGGTTCTCTTTTTAGCAGGCTAGATCTCCATGGTAA